GTAGGGGGCGAATCAAACCCAGCAAATCCAATCCACTCCCTTTTCACTCATACAGTAACACATGGGGGCGGTCTCATCCAAACCACTCGTCGTGGTTTTGCGTTCACGTCGGATCCGTCCGAACCGGTGTTGTTCAAGTCCAGAGAATCGACCTGCTTTCCGTCCTCTTCGATAGACGTGGGGGGGCTGTTTATACCAGGACCTTCCAACAGGTGGTTTTTGGCAACCTCGACACCTCGTGGTGTCGGTCCTGGTAGAAGTGCTTTCCAGCATTGCTCGGTCGACGACCCAAGACCCATGGCATCCCATGGCCGATTCGGTGTAGTGAAGGCCAAGCTAAGAGCGAACTTGGGCGCCATGCGGATGAGTCGACCCATCTCCAGGTCGACCCCCCATCGATACCCTTCTGCTTCAGAACTGGTTGGTGCTATCAACTCACTTGAAACTTCGTGGGGTGAAGAATCAACTAAACCCAAACGCGACTAATGGGACTGCCATAGGACTGCCGATCAGGCCAGGGGTGGTTTGAGGGGTCAATGTAGGCATACCTGGACCCTCCTTCAAGTACCTTAGAAAATGGAACGTCTAATTCACCCCATCAAAAACAGGTACGGACTGAGTCTCCCATGTTTCCGAGGGGAGCGTACCGGGCCGACGAAAAAGGTACATGGAGTGTCTGGGAAAGGGTTGATGTTCTCACTCCCACCTACCTGGACCTTGGCACCCTGGCACCGGCTTTTCGGCTCGGACCAATATGTGTCACCGTTGTGTAACTGGATTCCAGCCAGGAAACCACCGAGCAAGCTCTCGGAAGGTGCCACCAAATGCCACCACCCATGAATTGTCTGAGACCGTATGTCTCTCAGACCGTCTCAGATCTCCAAAGAATCGCGCGCATGTGGATGTGGGGTTTCCAGGCCGGCCCAAAAAAGTCGTCTAAAACACACAGTCCCCTCAGCCCCCGACATGTGCCGACATGTGAAGAAACGGTGCAGTTGCGGGACCCTGGTTGGGGCCAACTGCAAACTCTCAGACCGCCCGACCGTCCGGACCACCAGGTGGGACCGGTGAAAACCGACGGAAGGGCCTTTCCGAGTTGGCACACCCATGCGGAAGCGGACGTTACGCAAGCGACTGGAGAGGACGAGTGGTCGGTGCAATTGGTTTCCAACATCGTGTTTTTGTTTGATTTGTGGAGATGCATCAGCCTATTTGTCACATGCTGCCAATGTCTAACAAAAGTGTGCACAGTTACTTCAAACATGTGCAAATCTTGGATCGAGCAAATCTGGGTCAAGAAACACTGTGATGCACATGAAACTCCCCCAAAATCTCAAAGATTATAGCCCATGTTGTGCAAATCTTAATCCAAACATCAATATGCAAACACCCAAAGCTCGGGGATAAGTTCATTGATCACCTGATCCGCAGAAGACAAGCACTGAACAGTAGGAACTTCCACTAAATCCCTCACAGACTCGGCCGTCACAGAACCCAAAACAAGCATGCACACCCACCTCAAACACCACTTCCGCGAAGAACGGACCGAAATCGGATGTGCGAAAAACGGACCGGAAGGTCCGGAACAAGGAAAATCGGGTGGAAGATATCCCATACACTCCATGGGACTGCCATATATGCCGATCAGTTGGGGTGTTTTTTGGGGTCAATGTAGGCATATATGGCATACATGGAGTGTATGGGTATTCTTGGACTTGCTGAATGAACTGATTGGATTCACCCATGATATCCCATGATCTTGGATTTGCTGTCGGGAAGCAGAAGACACTCTGTTGTCCCATGTGCAGGGGGATTCACCCAGTTCAGGACAAAGACTTTCATCACCTTACAAAACTTGAGAAGAGGGATACACGAAAGGTAGGACAGCGGGAGGAGAATAGAAGCATGTAAAATATGCAGTGTGGTGTTGGTGGAATCGAGTCAGCTGGCAAACCAGGTCGACCTGGCATTCTCCAGAATCGCCCTCACCAGCACCCCCTGCAGATCTGCTTCCCTTCACCGCTGGGATCTGGGATTCCTGGCGAAGACCGGAGGCCATAACGACGTTTTGACCGGAGGGAACGCAGTGGATGTCGAACGCTGAAGCTTAGTGACTGGTGTCCTGTAGCTTCTGTTGGAAAAGGAAACCTAATAGGAATGGCCTCCACCCAACAAATAGCGGTAGCTTCTTGCTACGTTCGCTACGCGTTCTTGGCCTCCAACCTACCGACCTACTCGACCGCCTCCACTGCCGTGTGGCGTCCGAAGGCTAGCGTCCGCCGTCCGAACTGCCGGTCGAGTTGAATCGGCGTCCTCCGAACCCTTGGCCCCCGTCATGGGGGTCTTCCCCCCTTCTTTTGAGCCGAACCGAGACAACCGGGTTGGCCGCCGCTGGCCGCTGTTGGCCACAGCACTCAACCTGCTTTGGTCTTCCCAGGAGGTGGGAAGACCAAGTTCCCAAAGGATAGAATAGCCTTCCAGGTATTCAGCAGAAACCCAAGGATCAACAGTAAGAAGCCACCAAAAGAAATAAACAACTCAAAAGCCATGTTTGTAAAGGACATTTGTCTTCCAAGGGGTCATGTTCCACTTCCATGTTTGTTCAAATAGTGCATTTGTTGCGGGTCGGACGGCCAAAACACTGGACTTCGAACTTTTAAAACATCCCTATAGATGGGCCCGTGACCCCGCCTTTCGGGAGTTGGCCCGATTGGAACAATTGTCTTATAGCAACGCTACTAGAAGCTAGAAGCTACTAGTAACAAGGGCATTACTACTAACTAGTAGCTAGAAACTACTAGGTTGGAGGCCATTGCTATTAGGTTGGAGGCCACCGCTAATAGGAACAAGGTTACTAGTAGCTGGTAGTTTGGTAGTCTTAACTCCTTCCCAGGGCCAAGCAGCCACTGTATAAGGAACCAGGGCTTCTAGGTCTACAGGTGTAGTCTTTGGAACCACTGGTTGCCTACCCCAAACACTCCATGTCTGCCATATATACATTGACCCCTCCAACCACCCCAATGTAGTTAATATACTATCCCTAGGGATCCACATACCTTCTCAGAAGGTACGACTGGGCCCTCCAAGCCTACATACATAGTCTCCGTCCTCACCTTCTGAGAAGGTACGACTGGATCCCTAGAATATAATTAATATATATATATACATGGAGCGTCTGGGTCCACTGGGCTCTATCTCGTAAAGCAAGGTTTGCTCGGGATTCAACCCAGTACATCAATGGTGGACCACCCTATAGTGTGGATGCTCTGTGTACCCTCCCGAGCCGCTTCCCTGGAAAACCAAGGTTCACCTTTGGTGGGGCAAATCCGAAACTTTCCCCCCACAAAAGTGAATTGCAGGTGATCCATTTTTCCTCATGTTTCGTCGTCTTTCGTAAAAACTCGTTTGGAAAAGGAACAGGTGGACAGCTTCACCCGTTCACCTCCAATCTCGATCGCCTGTCAAACCTCGCCTCGGCCGTCGACTGGCCCTCGGCGTGTGGCTCTCAACTCTTCGTCGACCTGGCGATGGCTGCGGTCGTCCGATCTCGATCTCGATCTCTCCGATCCAGAAGAGGGCCGTGAACGGCTTCCATTCAGAACAATATGGCCTGCACATTCCACTTCGCGGCCGTTCAAAGGTCCTTGGCTCCTCGGATTTAACCATTCAGTGGTTCAGTAAGCAATCCGCTCTAAACCGGTCAAGGACTGAGTGCACATTTGGCCAAGGATGGCCTGCATGACTGGTGCTTGCGCAGCCATCGTTATGCTCTTGGGGCTTGCGGCACAGCGGACCCAGGTCGTGGTGTTTGGGTTCGCCGCATCGAGTGGTGACGGTGGTGTCCAGGTCCATTCACCCCTGCTTCACCTGGAGGAGTCTATCTTGTTCCAACAGTGCAGTGTTTGTTGCCTTTTCATCAAGAAAAAACACACACACAAGTTAGGCAAACAGTTCGCACAGTTGAACGTTCCAGGCGCTGCATGCACTGTTTTAAGTTATACACGTAGGAGACAAAACAAAGCAGTCATGTGTAAGTGCAGCATGTATCGAGCTTCTGAGTGATGAATACACAACAAGTTGTTTCATAAGTACAGTATATAGTTCATAATTAACCTAAGTTCAAAGAACAACAGGAACTCATAGGGTATGTGTCAAAGTGTTTTTTGATTGCTTGCGCACAACGAACCCGATCCAGCTACCTGGAGTCTCCAAAGTACCTTAGAAAATGGGACATGACCCCATAAAAACAGGTGCTTGTACCCTTTTTCCGAGAGACGAACTGAAACTCGAGGTATGGAAAAAAGAAACATCACCCAGACTCAGACGCGACCCGGGATCCTCCAAAAAGTTCTGGGCTCCGACCCGAATCCTTTGAAGGGGGTGTCTCCACTGAGCGGTCGGGCTGGGAGCAGTCGGGCTGGGAACGGAGTGGGTGTTTGCGACACCCTTCTGGTCGTTGGGAAGGCCGACCTTGGGCCCACATTGCCCCGACTTACACGAATTCACCACAGGGCGGCTGACATGCGGCCAACATCTCGCCGCCATCAACAACAACTGTCGCACCGAGGTTATATATCGAGATCGAACAGTCCATATTACAGAACAAAAATAGCGTGCTCATCCTGAGCAGTGCTCGTTTTTCCCCAATGACTCTCCTATTGTGTTTTTCAACAAACCAGGTTCCGTATAACTTTATAAATACCTTGAACAAAAGTGCTTCTAGATAGTTTTTATGCCCATGCTAACTACAGTGCTGATACTTACCAGTTCCTTTCTTCTGACGTCTGCTAGTGCAACGCAGTTACAACTAACCACAACACCTCTATTAGCTAGAGTATACTAGCTGTCAAAGTACAAGTTAGCTTATCAAAATACAAGTAAAACGCGTTAAATTGTAGTTAGTGATTCTACATGAGTACAGTAAATACAGACCAAGCAGTTTATGCAGTATCTTAGTATATAAATCACTTGCACTACCTGGTTGCTCCTGTTCTTTCATGTTATTTGTTTGCAACCACTCTCCTCAAGCAACTGGCCATCTGGCTCCTGCATCGCATCTCACCGCCTTGCAGCTGCAAGCTGCCCATGCCCTCCTTCTTCCCACCGAGCCCGCCACGACCGACGGACAGCCCGCGCCTCTCGGTCGAGCGACCCTTCGCCAGGATCTTATGTAACTTCTTCCGGCGCTGCAGCTCCCCTGCGGTCGTCTCGGTGCGAAGCAGGGCTTCGGCCGCGCGGGTCGAGACCGCGGGTTTGGGGGGAGGATTGTATGGAACACACAGGGCCCAGGGTCGGGGGGGATCTTGAACTTCCAAGGAGTGTCTATACAACCTCCTATAAGGCTAAAGGGGTGTCCCAAAACCGGACTTGGAAGGGGGTGTCTTTGGCCGGTTTTCGTTTCAGATAAGCCTTCATCAATGGATGCCCCTTGACTGTACATGCCACCAGAAACATCCGGACCCTGCCCACCCTGCCCCATCAGGATCCTGTGGAAGGCCTTCCTTAGGGAATCGATTGGTTTTTGAATGTTGTTGAACACCACATGCCCAGAATTGGCTGGGAACGTCTACAGGAAACCCATCGAGGGTCTTCAGACCCGTGGTCTCCGATTTGTTCTTAAACCAATTCTGAACAATTCTGGAATACATAGTGGGTTGTAGGATCTTATTCACCCATAACACCTCCCGCGGTTCGGTGGGACTTCGGTGGCTTTGAATGGTCCAAGTAGCTTCTGAGAAGGTCAAAACGTAGGACCAAAGCCCTATCCCTATAGGGGATCCACATACCTGCTCAGAAGGTACTTGGGCCCTCCAAGCCTACATACATCATCTCCAATCACCTTCTGAGAAGGTACTTGGATCCCTAGGGTATATAGGTTTCAGTCTATCCCATTACCAGGGCCCAGTGGATGATGAAGGGGCCAGGTTGCAGGCCGACTCCGTCTCTAGAATCGCTTTCTGGCTCTACGCTAGGTCACTATAGGTATTGTTGATCGATTCCAGGTATTGTACAAATCAAACAGGTCACCTGACCAAACCCCAAAAATGACACTGTACCATCACCGTACCGCCACTGTACGCAGAACAATTCCACCATTGGCCTCCTAAGCTGGACAAACTGTCCACCTGTTCACCCATCGCAACGCCAAGGGCGGCCGACGAACGCAACACGAGCCGGAAGCAAAGCGGGGGGAATTCCCCAGGAATGACAGCTGGGGGCACCCCAGCCAAAAGTGAATGCACAAAAGAAAGCGAGATAGCCGCGAAAAGACAGCGCGGTCGCAAATGCAGCCATAAACTCACATGTCGGAAAACAAAGACCTGGACTCTCCGACCTTCGGGGTGTCCTGGCTGGACTACCCCACGCGATCCCCAAAAGGCTTCCAAACAGGGCATCCCGACAGGACGGTCCTGGGAGAGACCATGCTTTATAAGCACCGCTGTTCATGTTTTTCGTGGGGACCACCGGAAACCGGAAACCGTTGACCCACGCTTCATCCCAGTACCACACTTCCTTCGTCGTGACCGGGGCACAAATCGCACCGGCCTTGGGGGCACAAATGGCAATGAAGGCATTGCGTACCGTTGTGACAACCGCCGGACTTCCAATACCTCGGCGCGGGGACACCCGCTCTCCGCGGGACGTCCAACGGCCGCAGGGGAAACAGCCTGGTACCTGCCCAAAGGATCATTGGACCCCTCGCATCTCATAGCTGGGGTTTCGACCCTCACCACTATGCCAAACACTACATGGGGCTGCCATCTATGCCGATCAATTGACCCCCCTGGCACCACCACCCCGAACGCCCGTTTCTCGGCAGTCCGATCCTCGGCAGTCCCAGGTCCGGGTCGTGTCTGGGTAATTCTTCCAGACCCATGGCTGGTCTGGGTCCTGGTGGATGGAGATAGGCTCGGCACCGACTTCGGCTCAGTGTCTGGGACGTTTGCTTCGGGCCCAGGACGTCCAACCAAGCGGTCTGCAGTCGGGACCGCCGACCGGAACGAGGAACCCATGACTGGTTGACCCGCCATCGATGGTTTGAAGCACACGAGGGTCCAGGCACATGTCACATGCCCAAACGATATGGTATAAATCAAACGGGGGTGCCCAAGGCTGGCGTCGACGCTACACTTGGAATGATACTTCCACCACAAACCGCTCAACGAAGGTTAACGCGGTGCATCTGTCACTTCTTGCTCTCTCAACTTGAACTTGATCCCACCAGCCCCCCAACAAAAAACACGTCGCTTGGTTGGATTCCATGCAGAAACACATCGACTTCTTTCCATCCCCAGAGCTTCAACCCTAGGGGTCCAGTAGTACCTTCTCAGCTTATAGGTACGACTGGACCTTTCAGTCTAATCCTACATCGTTGAATCAGTTGAATCCCTATAGGGCAAGACGGTGTGTTTTCCCGACTCCATAGGTCGGAAGTCCCTGTTTTCAGACTTCCGAACGTTCACCAGTTCAGTTCCCAGGTTCGACCAGGTTCGGTGACAGTTGAAGGCTCCAAGTGGCTAGGCACAAGGCTTGCAAGCGCCCCAAGCATGCCACGAAGAGCCCACGGACGGCATCTGAGAGGCTCCTAGCGTCGAGACCAGAGGTGTGACCGAGTCTGGGAGATGGATGGGTCACCTGGCGCCCTGGGGTACCTGTAGCCCAAACGCGACTGGGACCTGGGATGAAAAAGACCAAACACGTGAGCGCACGTGCACGTGCACACAGCTTTTTGAGTCACCATGGTGTCAGGGGCTCAGTTGCAGAAAAGGCTTGGATCAAGTGAGCAAATGGAGTGATCCATACGGTTTGGATCGGAGCCTTCGGAGCCTTGATCCATGGGGTATGGGTCACCGTTGCACCGCAGAACGATCCATACCAGGGCCCGTGGCCATGCCCACAGAGACCCGCCGGTCCCTGACTGCGGTAGGAGGGTAGGAGAGACGTCGGAACGAGTGTGCACTGAGCCGAAGTCGGTGCTCCATCCACCAGGACCCAGACCAGCCATGGGTCTGGAATAATTACCCAAACACGACCCGTTTGGGACTGCCGATTCGGACTGCCGAGAAACGGCCAGGGGTGGTGGTTTGGGGGGTCTGGCTGTTGGGAGTCTGGCCGTTTCTCGGCAGTCCGCCCTGGCAGTCCCCAGACATTCCGCGCGGCAGACATTCCGCGCGGCTTCCTTGCTGATGTCTGGTACGCCTCCCCCCAGATCTATCCACTCATGTGGAAGACTTAGAGATTTGGAGCGGTTGTAGCAGTGCATGGTTGGGTGGTTTCCGGGGACCAGGGCACACGACTCCACATCGGCTGTTTCATCGGCCCCTTCGCGTTCCCAACAAGACTTGCAATGGTGAAACCCAATCAGGAAGGTGCTGGCATGTAACTATTCCCATACCCTATAGGATTGGAAGCACCATTGATTTAATCGCTATATAATCGAACAACAATACGTTTTACTATAGGCTCAATACCATATAGACTACAAAGCCAGGTCTGTCGCATTGAATCGATCTATCTTCCCCGGCTGTGGCGATCTTAGCGGTTGAATCCCGTGCTGCCACGCCTTCGTGCAACGCTGGCGCGCTCTTGCACCGCATCAGGCGGAAGTCGTCTGCCTCGACTGGCGCCGTGAGATGGATCCCTTTATGGAGCCTCATAGCGTCTCATAGCTGGCGTTTCGACCCTCACCACTATCCCAAACACTACATGGGGCTGCCACAGATGTTGATCAAGCCAGACGTCTGGCACCACGGTATGGCCGTGAAACGGGTCGTGTGGTCACCAGCCGCTTCGGTGCTGAGTTCTGACCGCTTCGTGCACCACCCGAAGAGTCGAACCAACGAGTCGACCAACGCGGTATGCGCGCGGGTGAAGGTCCTAGTAGATTCCTTGGCTAGTAATTACAAGTGCATCGCTAGTAACAAGTGCCTTACTGGTAGTAACAAGAAGCTAGTAATTACAATTCTAATTAAGATTCTTTTTGTTGCTAGTAGTAAGGCACTTGTTACTAGTAGCTTCCTACCTCGCGGAATCATTGACCTCTGAGGCGCCCAAGAATTCCCAAAGGGTTCCTGAATTCAATTCCATCTTTAGTGAGTGTAGTCCCATGAGTGTTCCTATCTGCCATCCCAAGTTCTTCACCCAGGCCCAAAGAAAATCATTTGCCCAAACACTCCATGTAAGGATATATGTAAGGCATATTTACCTACAATTATACATACATTCACCCCTGTTTCACCAGCCCAATCTGAATCTGAAATGGGCCTTTCACATGAGCTCTGGGCTTTTCACATCGATCACGTGGCTTCGATCCAAAGCGCTTCGTCTCGTCCCTTCGCTCTGCCCAAGGCACTTGGACGAACTCAAGGAAGGTACCTGGCCGTCCCAAGAGAGGTGGAACTCACCTGACCGGTTTCATTAGGACACCCGACAACAGAAGGGGTACCGGTTCCTGGGATCGTCGAGTTAGTTCGGGTCATGAAAAACCTCGGCATGCCCAGTCCATGTGTGAAATGTCCAGAGGTGGGTCAGGACCCGAACTAACTCGACTATCCCAGAATCGGTACCGGTGACGGGTCCTATTTACGGTCACTGGCTACCTCTGTTGGGTCTCTACCCAAATGCCCATGTCACGCTCCTCCGTTCGCAGCCCGACTGCTCCCAAACCAAACCGGCATTGCGAACAGTACCCCTCCAAAGGAGTCGGGTCCGAGCCAAGCGTCCCTATGAGGATCCAGGGTCGTGTCTGGAGGGGTTGGTCGCACCCTGAAAAGGTCGGACGGTCGAACCTGTTTCCCCAGGTCCTGAAAGACCAAAAGGGTGTGAACGGAGCGTCTGGGTAGCTACGGGATCTTTCTACCTGCTTTCACCCTGTGGCTGTGAAACATTGGGGGCTTCAGTGTATTCCATGTCACCCGACGGTGGACAGGTCTTCGAGGTGGCTGAAATGGAGACTTCAAGAGTTTCCAACCAGCAGTCGTAAGACGGAGGTTTGGGGTGCCACTTACGGGGACTAAACGCCACTCCTTTGTGACCCCTGGAAGTCAGTTCTGGTCCATGAACCCTTTCCCCAATGGATTCCAGGCCACGATCTGACTCCCGACGCTGGGGTGGTTCATGGACACCCCGAATCACAGCCAAGGGGCTATAATAAACACCACTCGGAGGGTCCTGGTATGCCTGATCAATTGGTCGACCTCCCTGACACCGCCCTGGCCATTTCTCGGTCAGTCCGACTAGCTGACGTCCCAAACACGGGAGTGAGGTTGTTGGGTGGGGGTCTCCAACCTTCGATGATCTCCTTTCGGGCTCTCCGGGATCAGAGGTTGAAGGACCCGAACTAGACCATCCCATAATCCCAGTTCGGTACCCCAGGTGACGGGTCCTAGTTCAGGTCACGTGAAACACCTCTCTCCGGCCACGGCCCTTCGGAGGGCGAACAAACACGGACAAACGACCGCAGCAACCCAGTGGACCGGACCGAAGCCCTCGTGCTGCGAACCTCGTGTTTCCCGTGACCGGTGAAAACCGGTGGACCCGTAGTGAGGCGAACTTGAGGGTTCAGGATGTGACCAGTCCCAAACCGAATCCGGGCCCTCAAGTAGATAGGGCCGATAGGGTTTGGTTCGGCCCTGGACCCCTGCGTTTCGGTGTCGGGTCCGACCCCTGCCATGGACAGCCCGTATGGATTCTCAGGGAAGACTATATCCCAAACACGACGATCCCGACTGCCGAGAAACGGACTGCCGAGTTTCACGGCCGTGGTGACGGGTCCTAGTTCAGGTCACTGGCTACCTCTGTTGCATGTGCCAGCACCCGACTCCAAAAAAAGGTCACCACACTGCGGACGGTCGACCGTCTGGCAGGGGCCGACGAGACGGAGACGAGAAGACGCTGGTCGACGGATCCTTTGGGCCGTCTTCTTTCGGGTCAAAGGGCCGGCGAAGCACCAAGATCCCACAGCAAAGCCCCCGTTTCGGATCGTTTCGGGGTGGTTCATGGATACCCCGAATCACCTCTAAGGAGCTATAATTAGACACCCGGGCCCCTTAGGGGGCCCTGGAAGAGGTCGTGTCTGGGAGCGACGGCCTCAGGTCTGAGACGACTGACATGGAGATCACAGGCTGGTCGTGGTCGATTTCCTAGGTCCCGATCCATGGGGCAGTCCTATGACCAACATGAGTTCACCACCAACCCACCCTCTCATGAATCGGCCAGTTTGGACTGCTGTCAGATCCATGGGTGGTTCGTTGGTCTGATCATCCCACACAACCAGTTACTCCGTTTTGGACGAAAACCGCAAACCGGTCGGTCCATGGTTCGTGTCCCTTCCGACATCGGTGAAACACCGATCCCGGAAGCTCGGTCTCCGCGGAAGTTCGGTCTCTCCACTTCTCCCGGGGCACTCTTGACGATGAGCTTGAAGTGCGTCACTTCTCCCGTCTCGTTGTCGGACCTCGCGGTGTGGGCATAGACGGTCAAAGGGTCGGTGCCATGTACCATGTACCCAGATATGACTTTGAATACATTGGGGTGGTTGATTTGGGGTCAATGTCGTAGGCATATATATACCATACATGGATATACATGGAGTGTCTGGATAGCTGGATCTTGTCAACTGTGCACTTTTTTGGTTGTACAGGTGAAACGGCAGCAATGAAGGCACAGGCTGGGAAGATCCGTATGCGCCTCGACCCACGGGACGGATCGCATCCTCTAGCTGCTATCAGTTGGGGTTGGTGAAAAGGGGTCGTTGCCACACATCCCAGGCGCCCAGGGGTCGTTGCGCCTCGGTGCCCGGCACCGAGCCGGGGTCCATGTAAAGGCCTGCGACACGTCGATTTACCGAGCTATTTCAACACGGGTCCGAGGTGGATCCATTGGATTTCAGCCCTCGTTTCTTTCGAGGGTCGGTATGTCGATCGATCTGCCTGGATCATCCTGGACCATCTTGGAATATCTTATGCATAGTATACAGTATACATGATTGTGTACCAGGATCCTCCGGTCGGCTAGTGCGGTAGTGTGGGGTAGTGCCAGGACACCCCGACAGGAGGGTCCAGGTATATCATGTATGCATTATATATTTTACATACAAATGAAAATCACTACACCGAGCTTTTCAGCTTCAAGGTGTTCCCGGTGCTTCACCAACTTCCCGGCTACGACGTCACGTCAGTCGGAGTCCCAATCGGAGTCCCAACCACCACCATTCGCTCGCTGCGCTCGTCATCGCCGCCGTCACACTGCGACCACGTCACGCTGCAGTGCTCGTGTCGGCCGAGGAAGGGGTACCAAGCTCCGTCACGTCCGACTGGTCGGCGGTGGACACCCGCCGAAGACACCGTGGGAACGTCGGCGCGCACGTACCAGGACCCTGTCTGGCAGCCGAACGTGCGGATTCGTGTGGGGTAGTCCAGCCAGGACACCCCGAAGGTCGGAGGGTGCTGGTATACACCAGCAGTCACAAGACGGGGTGCCGAACTTGGAGGAAGTCGGGGTGCCCAGCTTCTCCACTCGCTGGATGGGACGAGTCACACCACCCCGAGCTCTGTGACTCCTGGTGCCCAGGTCCTGTTGGTTTGTGGAGTGTCCCTGGTCTTTCTACCCACTCACTGGGTTTAAGGTTCTTCCACCTCATAGCAGCCTTCAAACTACCCAATACCGGCTTCCAAGACCTTTCCCTGAAAAATACAGGTTCATGTATTCCCTACTTAGATGAGCCGGGTGTTTGCTCAATACTCAGATGTGTGACAAGGGAGTTGGCAAGTGATTTGTTATTAATTCATTGCATGTATATGTCAAGTACATGTTCCAGCAAGGCAGATGTAAACACTGCAAACAATGCATCCACTTAGCCTTTGGGCAGCTACTTTAGTAAACAACTGACTAACTATATAAGATAACCTCTAGCCATTCCCCAAAGTGTTTAGCTAGCTGGTTAGCCTGTTTCCAACCATATCAACCATACAACACAAGTACTCAACCATATCAGCTAAGTGGTTACCATTTATTGCCATTTATACCCCTCACCCATGTGGCTGTAGCCTTCAAAAAAACATTGAAGACATGGGAATGATCTGGTTCTATTCAACCAATGCTTGGCCAGGAATGTCAGAATTTTGGGACACCGAGTACCGGCGCAGAATTCTGCGACTGCGACGAAGCCCAGCACCTGGTAGCTTGCTTGGATTTGTCCCGGTTCCCGGGTGAATCCCCTCTAGCTAGACAAGTCTGGAGTGAGACCATCTCTCCCTCCAGACTGGGAGTCCCAGAGATGGATCCCTTCTAGTTTCTGGGGGTTGGAGTTGATGGATTCTTGTCCCTGGCTCGGCCTGGCTCCTGGCTCGCAAACCCGCAGGTCGGCGATTTTTGTCAGGCAGGTGCTCGGTCCCACGAGAAAGCAAGAGGCCGACGGAAATGAAAAAGGTTTAACTTTCTGGGAAGATTGGGGTTCCTCTCTCCCCCCCCCACACGACATGCGCAGCCTGGGAATTCCAAAGAACCAGCTGGCAAGGTTGGAACCGGCGCCAGCTTGAGATCCTGACCACATGGAAAGTGGCTATATCCACATCCATGGCACCCAACGAGCCCGAGAATCGAATCTCCACCAGGTCCTTCGGTCTCGCGTCCCGCCTCGTTTCGGACGCGAAGCTCCGCACCTGGGACGGGGCTGCGACTGGGGCCTACAAGTACCACCCAGTCAGGAATGATTGCTTAAGCTAGTGATAACACAGCAGCTAGAAATGGGGATGCAAACCACATCAAACGTCAATGGCAGGCAAAGGAATCCTGGGGAATTGCGAGGAATCCTGGGGCATCAAGTAAATGCAAACAACCTCATATCCCAGACCATCCATGGGACTGGACTAGTTATATACCTATAATTGTCATTTGGATGGGGCAACATGTGGTAACTATTCCAGTCCCATGGGTCCGCGAAGAGCTCTTGGTCTCCCTTGGCCAAGTTGTATCATTGGCGACCGACCACATTCCGATCCCTGGCCCCGCCCATCTCCGACCGAGCCGGTACAGAGCCGGCACCCACCCCGACCCGCCCAATCGAAACGGAGGGGACGGCCGAACGGAGCCCAGTCACGGGCCCTAGGGCCCTAGGGGTGGGGCCCAGAGTTGCTGAGGGGTCGAGCCTGCTAGTCCTTCGCCCATCAGGACCCGAAGCAAACGCTTCCGGGGGGGTCAGGACCCGAGGGTCCTAGCCCTTCCCAGCGGAGGGCTCGGATGTTCGAATCGATGATCCAAGAGATCTAGGTCCAACAGAGCCAGGTCCAAACCTTCCCGAAAACCTCATGTCCGTGTTTCTTCCATCAACTCCAATTTCACGTGAGCTTCATCCCTAGGGGTACTGGCTCAGTCGGTTCCAGGTTTTCACTCGTCCAGTCCCATTGCTCCTCGACCGGTCCCATCGCTCTGCTCCACAAGCGGCTCCGCTGGGTCACCAGGGCTCCGCACGCCAAAGAGGAAGCTGAGGTCCTCGCCAAAGAGGAAGCGCGCATGGAGCGAGCTTGTATTGGCTGCCCAGGGGCCGGGAAACCATGAAAAAAAATATTTGCCGGGTTTGGGGATTTACGCCAAACTATAGGAGTTTCATAATGGTTGATCTGGTTTTGCTTAGTGTCAGTCCCTTAAGTATATCGGGACGACCCGGCTATGAATGGAGAGGCCACGACGTCACCCGAGGTCACGCTGCGTCACCCTCAGGCAACGCTCAAGTCGCATTGGAGGGCAAAGCCAAAGGAACGAAGGTCACTCTTCAGAAGGAAGGTTCCTCTTGGAGTATAAATGCTTTTTAGGTCTTTGAAGCGTCTTGTCTCAAAAAAGCTAGGAACAAGATCATGCCACCTGGCGAAAAATAAGAGCTGCCAGTTTCGGGGGGTAAGCTCTCAATCGGTGGAGCGAAGGCAATGGCGTCGTCATGAAGGCCCAACCATTCGGACGATGGACACGTAGCAATGGCCTTTGTTCCTAGCTTTTTGCTCCTATTGCTTGCTCCTGGTAGTAATGACCTTGTTACTAGTAGCGATGCCCTTGCTACTATACAGTAGCGTTATTGCTACTAAGTAGTGATGCTTTTGGTTCCTAGAAGCTTCTTGTTACTAGTCGTAATGCCAGGAGCTAGTAGCGTCTTTGCTACTAGTAGCGTGTCAGCCGGGAGGATATTATTCCCAAACCATCCATGAATCATGTCATGGGACTGTCATATTTACCGAGAAACGGCCAGGGGTGGTGCCAGGGAGGGGTTTGTCTTGATCGGCAGCCTAGGGACCTCACTCGCTCCTTGCACTCGCTTGATCGGGCCTGGCCTCTCAAAACTATAGGGACCTGACCTGGAGCCTTCAAACCTCAAGTCCCTGTTGTTCCATGACCCAAATCCAGTCACCTGGAGTCCAAACCGAACTACACGATCAGTCGCCGCACCTGAAGAGGTGGACGAACATGCGGAGCCGCCTCGAGGGAGCCTCCCCAAGTCTTACAACGTGTGGTTTTCCCTGCAGGTGATCCACTTGCACGTAGGGTCCGGTGCCGACCATCAATGCGATTCTCCATGACCACTGCGGACCATCAATCCATCCCAGACTCTCCATGTATGCCATATATGCCGATCAGTTGGGGTGGTTTGGGGGGTCAATGTAGCCATATATGGCAGTCCCATGGAGCGTTTGGGCATGGCGAACACCGGACCAACCGGTCTCGAACTGCTGGGGCTCAGCCCCCGGTCCTTGGTTCATCTCCAGCGGCTCGGCTGCGCGCGGAAGCTCCCGCCCAAAATGGCTCCAACCACCACGTGGCGCGTGGAGTGCAACCCCCCCGGCGTTCCTGGAACAAACTCACCGCCTTGAAAACGCCCGGTGGCGTCCCACAACTGATTGGCACCCAAAATCAATTGGGTGATCGGTTGGGGTTCCAAGTGGTTCAAGGTATATGCCTACATTAGTTGAAATCAACCACTGCGTGCTGCAGATAGTGCCAGGTTCTTTAGTCACCCGAGCGGGCTCCAGTCGTACCCTTCTGAGTTCTTCTGAGGTTCGGTGGGAGTCGGGTAGGTGCCAGGATGGTCTAACGACTGGCACCCTATAGGGTTTTTCCCAATACCCGGTCGCACGAATTGCACTTCATCGCTCCGGGCTGGTGGGGAGTCTCAGGCTGGAGCCGCCCACCCCAAGTGTAAGATCGATTTGTTGGAGCCTGCCCCCCCCCCCAAAAAAAGTAGATCCCAACTAGACATGTACCGGAAACCGTCTCTATCCATGTGGGGACCACTATATATACTCTCCCACTCACTAAAAGTTGAGTTAAATGGGAAGTGCAAAATCCTCTGTTCCTAGGGTGAAATGGTCTTGCCGGTCTTGCAGGCCTAGGTCCTATGTTCCACTTCCATGTTTGTGAGTCAGAGTGGGTCAGTATTATCACTTTTACTTACCCCATGTGTGAGTCCAATGGATGGCCAGGGGCCAGGGATATTGCCAAGGCGACGCGGTGAGGCGTCTGCGTGAGGCGCCCCTTTCTCGCGTGAGGCGAGGCGGGTTCTCCAGCTTTTCTCGCTTCGTGTTTGCCAGCTTCTCCGCTTCTCGGCGGAAAGCCTGCTTCCTGTTTGCTTCCTGTTCATACCCAGCGTTTCCATCTCCCAGGCTCGACCCATCCCAGCCGCCGTTCACCCAAAACCCAGTCAGCCCACACACTCATTCCGCGTCCCGCGTTCTGACCGGCGCCTGGTTTCCCTTTTTTTTTCAATTTTCGCGTGGAAACAGAACAAACGGTGGTTTTCGGCGCCCGGCTGTGATCCTTTAATGCCTATTTGCCTTTGATCGGCGCTCAGGTGCCTTTGATCGGCGCCGATTCAGGCGCCACAGTGGCCGCGGGTTGGAGAAACGGTGATCGGCGGCGCATTGCGGATGGTCTAAACCTTCAGCAACTGGAACCTGGCTCATCCTGACTCATGTCCAGGCACGTCCTAAAAGCAGTTTCGTCAGTCTAAAAAATGTTGAAGTGGCATAGCTATGGCCTAGGATTCAAACAACCATTGTTTTAATGGTCTTTACCAAAGAACTATTGTTTCACTAAGGATCTTTACACTGCACCACCAGCTCAACCGTTCTTTTAATGGTCTTTTGAAGGCTAGGTTTGCAGGTTTTCAAAGCCATTCACCCCCAGTGTTCGAACATCCTCCATCGCCGGTCCTACTATATACTGGTACCTTACTGTTGAGTCCGGTGGTTGCTGTAGGATAGTCCGGGATCTTCAGTTCAGGTCAAAAACAGGCCACAAGGTCACTTAGAGACTACAAAGAGGTCACTTTGAAGGTCCTGGTCCATAAAGTAGAGACTCTTTCCAATATGTCCGCGATTGCAAAACCTCTCATACCGGGTCGTTTATCAACCAAGAGTCCACCCACATGTTCAGGTTCTGCCCATGAACGTCCTGGGTTTGTCTCCATTCGATCCGCAGCCGGCCGTTCCTCGCGGAACCGCGTTGCCCAACGACCTACCGGTGGCCCAGCCGTTTCCCCCAAAAGGACTCCGATCACGGTGCGACGAACCATGCGGTTCCCATGCGTCAACTCATGCGTCAACTCATGCGTCATGGATGGGTGCATCCAGTCAAGCAAGGCTGAAGGGGTGACTGGACCTCATAAAATACTGGAGTTGGTCGTATATACAAAGACTACTCGACGAGGCTTAGTGGGTCAAATGTAGAGTCTAGTTGCAAGACTTGGATTGGAGGCTGCCTCAAAGGAGACCCACTGGGCCCTTCAACGGAGCCTTTGGTCTGGCAGAATGCGAGGTCCGTTGACGCGGCCTCCCGCGGCCTGACTCGCGCGGCCAGAGGAACTCTGTGGAGGTCACTTGACCAGGTGTCGTGTTGCTCCGTGCAGAGCCATTTCGAGCACCCAATGCCGGGGTTCTGGATGCAGGCGGGGAGTACGACGGAGTAGGACAGGCGTTGCAGAACGACAGGCGCTGCGATAAAACACCGTTTTCGCAAATTCAGTGCAATTCAATGGGTCACTTGACACAGGAGTAATTAAGTTTGACGTCTTTGAAATGCCAGCCGTGGGCAACAAGTGGTGCACCAGCATCTCAGCATCTCTTGGTCCAATATCCCAGACAAGGGAAATTCATGGAACATATGTACATTTTTAATTTTTTAACCCATAAAGAACCCCAGACACGACCCATGGGACTGCCATATCTATGCCGAGAAACAGCCAGACCCCTCCAACCACCACCAAGGTTTGCACATTTGGAGTGGCTATGTTCCAGGTCGACCGGTCCGAACGCACTGAACCCTGTGCATCCCAGGCAGTTCCCTGCTTTGAGCCGTTGCGAACCGGACTTCCAGTCGCTCGCGAGGAGCGACTCGCGACCTCGACTGGAACTGCCGACGTGTCTGGTTTTGGGGAAACAAAGGCGGTGACCCTGGCCTAAACACGACCGGACCGCCCTTGGGGGAGAGGCATCACCAGCCGACACGGGCCGATGAGGTCGGGGTGGTTAGTTGGATTTTGGAGGTCCATGAGCAAACATGTCGCCGCCATGGGAGCAGCAGTCCTATCGCCGGTCCATGACATACTATAGGTGGTTTTTGGTGGGTGAATGTATATGTCATACCTACCTACATGGATCCTCTGGGTAGGTAAATATTCAATACATGGATCGAATGTTTGGGTATAGCATTATTGGTGGTATAGCAAAAACAACCTTGGTCTATCTGACTGGTCAAACCCTTGGCCCTTGGGAATCATTCTTGTTGGAACTACCAAAGTAGAAAAAATAATAACTGGAACATACCAGGGCCCCCGTTTCTGGGTGTCTAATTATAGCTCCTTAGAGGTGATTCGGGGTCCATTAACCACCCCTTAACGGGGGCTCTGGTACTGGAACTCTTCATGAGTCATTTATAAGAAACCCTAAGGGTCCAGGACCATCCGTTCCTCGGATGTCCTGGCAACGACCATTCTCTGGAAGTACGTACTCACCAACCCGTTCGACCCTAAGTACGGAGGTACCTGGACCCTATGGGTTACCTATACCCAGACACGACCACCTGGGACTGCCGATTCGGACTGCCGATCAACGGCCAGGGTGGTGGTTTGGGGGGTCTGGCTGTTTCTCAGTCCGCCCTGGCAGTCCCAGGTGGTCGTGTCTGGGCACGGTGTCACGTTGACTCACTCTTCTGGCACGCCGGATCAGATCCCGAACGTTGCGACGCCGATTCAGCCAAGTCCTCGTCTTCGCTCAAGGAACCAGGAAAAAAGCATATACCAGAGCCCCCGGTTTCTGGGTGTCTAAGTATAGCTCCTTAGAGGTGATTCGGGGTATCCATTAACCACCCCTTAGGGGGCTCTGGTATATAGTGCAATATAGATTGAAATAGAATGATCGAACATATATTGAACGGGGTCTGGGGTCTCAATTCCTTAGGTTTTGAAGGACCAAGGGCTGTTTGGAGCGTCTGGGCAGGATATTGAACTAGATTTCACCAAGAACACGTCACCTTAAGCAATGTCCGTCGTCCTTTCTCCCATCTGCCCCACCTGCATCCTACGGCCCGCTTCCGAGCACCCGCGGCCACGCGTTGCGGCTTCGGCTTCGGCTTGTTCGGTTGGGGGGGGTGGCACACACCTCCATCCATGCGGTGCGGTGCCCCACCCCGGTGTCAGCAAGGTTGGTCCAGGTGTCAGCAAGGTCAAAGTCTCGGTTTTTCGTGGCAGGTCAAGCAGGCGAGTTCTGAAGCCTTTCGGAGGAAACATCAATTTCATGGTCTGAATCCCCAAGAACCATTGGCGGTTGTACGAAGGATTTCCACCAGATTTTGCACTCTACAACACCAGTTCGCCGTTCACAAGTCGAACGGAAGGTGTAAAAGGAACACGGTATCATCGAACGCCGTCACACTCCATTCGACCCACTGTGGCGGGGTTCGAATCGTGAGGTGGAGATGTCAGGAGCCCGGTACCCAGACACTCCCTATGGGACTGCCGTATATGCCTACATTGGGTGTGTTGGGGGGGTCAATGTAGGCATATATGCCATACATGGAGTGTCTGGGGTATGGTAGGACGATGTGATGATATTCGTATGGTAGGAGGCGCCCGCAGAATGTCCGATTTGGACCTGCGGAGAATGCCCGGAGCAGTGTCCGAACATCAAGGATTGATTGAGCAATAGAATTCTATCCTGTTTCCACCTCTGGTGATCAAAACTTATCCACTTCATACCTGTTGGATTTGAGTGAGGAAACCCAATCCCGAATAGAACAGGTTAAACAGATACACCCTGGAAGACTAACATGGACCCTGAAAACCACTGGTTGGTAGAGGAAAACGCTCTTCCAAAGGGCTATTGTCAGGGTCTATGTTAGTTTTCGGGAGTATATTTAAACATGGTTAAGGGTGGTCCACCGATTCCCATTACCAGGGCCCCAGTGGATGATGATGGTGGGCCCAGGCTTTTCTCTAAAATCGTCATCTCGTTGACCAATGCGACCAGCCCTGCCATGCCCTGCCACTTCCTCTTGCTGCCACTTCCTGGCTTCTGATTGATTCCCGGCGATGGCACTGTGAAATTTGGTACCTCATGCGCTGCACCTTCCTTCACTTCACCCACCCTGGCTGCTGGTGCTTCTAAGCGGACAGCTTGCAGGAGCCGACAGCTCGGTCTGCAGGCCGGACGCACCCACAGTCGGACGCGAGGCTGGGCGCTAAGACTCCAAACTGCCCAGAAGGTAC